TATTTCGAACAAAAACGAGCCAAAATATAAATTTTTCAAAGTAGTGTACCGATGCACCATCTAATGCATCGATGCACTCTTGAATAAATTGAATTCCGAGTGCATTTTGTGTACCGATGCACAAGGCATGCATCGATGCACTCTTGAATGTTTTGAAACATCGAATTGATTTTGTGTACCGATGAACATATCATGCATCGATGCACTCCAGGCTTTTTTGAAACATCGAATGCAATTAATGCATCGATGCACTCCTAGTGTATCGATGCACAAAGTCTTATTACGGTCGAAATATTTGAATTTTACACATAGTGTACCGATGCACCTTGTATATGCATCGATGCACACATGCTCCCAACTGTTTTATTAATAGATAATTACACTATAACGGTTCTATTGATTTCACCAATGATCCCCAACGTTCAGAAGTGATCCAAGGTGTATTTCAACAAGCTTAGGAGCCATTGATCAATAACAAGAAACAACAATTGAGAGAGAATCAAAGAGAAAGCTTTAAAACATCAAGTTTGAGCTATTCAAGCATATTTTTCATTCAATATTCATTTTGCTTTCAAAAACACCATTTGTACTCAATTGTATTCATTCTTGAGTGTTCTTTCTTTGTTCTAGAATTGTGCAAACAATTTACCTTGTGAGTTTTTCTGTAAGTTTGCGAAATTTGTATCATTCTCTTTGGGAGAGAGTGTTCTCAAGAATTTGGGGTATAATTCTTGAGGGATTTGTAAGGTTACACTTTGTCCTCAAAAGAAAGACAAATTAGTGAATTTGTGGAAAATCCTTAGTGTAGATAGCTAAGGTAGTGAATGTAGACTTATGTTGAGAAAGTCGAACCACTCTAAATCGCTGTACAATTATTTTCTATTTTCTGCAAAAGCTTTCACCGAAATTTTTATTGTCAATTCACCACCTCTTGGCCGATTCGTCGATCTATTAACTCAACACTATACTCTTTTAAACTATATCATCCATAAAAATAAAGAAACACCATTTTGTGAGGGAAATCCATGAAAACATCTCCTTGCTATAAAGGAAATACATTTTCAATAATTGTTCGTACAAAATGATTTGATTTTTCTTATAAAAATAATTATAATTTTTAGGTTAAATAAACGGCTTTATTCGATAAAATATGGTTTGAGCTCTTTAATTTTGTGTACTCGCTGCATTTATCACTTGTCATCAAATTTTTATTTCCTTATTTGCAAAACCAACATTGTTTTAGTTTTTTTTTTTTTTGAAAATTGAGATCTTTTAAATAAATTCGAATGAATAGAATGATCGTAATTTAAATATATTTTCGAGTTTGTAATTTTCCAACATTTAGACATTATATAATCGTTTAGGTACTAAACTTGGGCGTTGTGGGGTGCTCACCCTTCCCCACAGGTAATCAACTCCCGAACTCTTAAAAATGAATTTTTGGTAAAACGCATACCATTTTTCGTCTTTTTAATGATTTTTCTGAACTCGATAAAATGATATTTTAGATATCCAACCTACCTAATTTAAAGGTTGATGGAGACTCCAAAATCAAATTATTTCAAACCTAAAGTTCATCATCTTTCCCCGAATTAATTTTTTTAAGTCTAACAAATCTCCGAGGGAAACGTTATGACAAATAGCACTTCCAGTTCTCATTCTTTTGCTTTTCCCATGTAACGTGTTCCCTCTACATCATTTTTCATTGTGCTTTTCTCAGTTATCCCGAAAAACAACAATGGCTGATTGTGAAACTGTAAGAATGGCGGAAGCTGACCCGAGACGGCCTAGGAAGCACCAAAGTTGGAGAACCTGTTGTCTCTGCTGTGTGTGACTCTTCAATTGCTTCTTTCCTTTAACAGTAAATCTAATAAAACATTCAATTTTCACGTGTGTACTATGCAGGATTCCGAAAACATCATGCTTTTCAACAATGGTGTAAAAAACAAGTAGGACAATGATTGTCTTTTGTCTCTTTGTACTGTCAATGACCGCTACATTTCTCATCTGCTATTCCAGATTTGCAAGACAAGTTTTACCTGAGAATCAATAATGTTCAGCAATGGTGCTTTTGAGTCCGGAGGTGACTTAAAAAAAACGGCAGTCATGCTCGATTATGACGGAAATGGACATAGACAGAGACGGTCGTAGGCAAGGCTGAAACTCCCTTGCTGCTTACGGCATTCCATATGGAAGAGTGTATTGTCCCAGAGTGCGTTGCTGCTTCCTTTCATTTTCATGCCATAACTATGCTTTCATCTCACATGTCCAGCTAAGATGTGGTAACTTGTGTCGCCTTTGACGAGCAAATCAACGCCGCCTCTTTACTTTCAGATCTTTGTACACATTTGGATATTGTGAGATTCACAGTTGTTTTCTCAGAAAGCAAGTGATTATATTTATCTTCTTCTCATTTGAACAGGGATGACAATCGGAAAGGGCGATTTTGTGCTCATGCCGACAACAACCCGGTTTTTTATCGATAAAAACACAAAACCTTTTAGCCTTGAATTTATCTGGGGGGATAAATCCAACCTTGACTCGACGCTAAATTTTTTTAATGAAAAACCAGTCCATCCAATCTCAAACCCTGATTTTCAAAAGAGAATACCCCAGTAGCCTGTAGGATTATGCATTTGCTGGTCTCACACTTGCCTCAGCTGCAGATCTGTAACGTCAACAAGTTGATCAAATTCTTTAAATTTGATGGCAAGAAAATGAAACCAATTCAAGTTTAGTCTATTTGTGTAAGAAATTGAATCAGGAGACACGGTATCAGTTGCATCAGACACAGTAAATTCACAATGATCCATCTAGTGAGGATGCTTACTAACTTCTGGCACATCAAAATCAGTGACCAAGATCACGTAGGAAGGCGTCATTGAGTGAAGGACCACCTCCATGTGCCAACCTTTTGAGGTGCTAGCTTTCAATCTCCATCTATGGCCACAGTGTTGAGAGAAATCTCTAAATGATCCTTCCATTTGGCTATCAAGGCAACGTTCGCGCCCAATCGTCTATGTTGGTCTTCAACTGACTGCTTACTCAGATATTTCACCTTCACTACTTCACCAATTATAGCAAACTCAAAGAATATTAAGAAAAATGGAGAAATCTTTGACCTTGTGAAAAATCAATGATCTCACTGAGAGAGAGAGAGAAATAGACACCCCAAATTCTGACTATTCTGAAGTCGAGCCAGGTCGAAACTCAAACGGGAAAATCTCTGCCGTTTATCACTTGACCATAGACTTTTGCTGCTCCTGAAGGAAATCTATATCATGCTGGTTGGGGGCATCTGTTTAAAACAAAAATGGCAGATTGGCAATGGCAGCTCCCATGATTATAAACTGTCAAGCCAAACTCGGTCATGTTTCTCTATCAGGGCGTCTCATAGCAATGGCCAACGTTTTCATTTCTTGTCCTTCTTCTAAAATTTAATTCACACAACTCTGAGATTGATGGTACAGTAATGATGTATTGTACATTAAAGGACAACTTAAAATGAAAAATTATTCATGTATAGTTCAGAGTACAATGAATTGAGATCTGAGAAAAAGGAACATATATTATAACTACCCTAGAATGAAAATATATGTCCAAGGTTCTTCAAAAATTGAATATGATCTTTCAAGCTTAAACGAATAGACAATGAAGTTTCGATTAAGCAAAGGTGGTTTTGAGCTGTAAATTTTGACCGACCACAGGACCCATGAGCATCAACATTTGGCCAAACTTGAAGGACAGCAGAGGAGCAGGTCCAGGACCAGTAGTGGTCCACCCTAACTCCTACCCAAGTTGATGATGATAACCCTCCCTAAGTTTAGACTTTGTAGCAAAGGCAATCTTCTTATCATTGTTTTGGTAAGGAGATAGCCGCCCAAAACTTAACCCCCCCCCCCCTCCAAGTCTAGTTTTGCAAAGATGTCGATTTCCACCTCCATATGGGACCACAAAAAAAATCCTCACCTAATTTAACCCCCACTACTTCCACACCTTACCCAAAAGTCCAATGGTTCAAAACCACACATTTAATGCGCACAAATGATTCAAAGAAACCACTGAAACCCCATCCCATTCTAGTGCATCATCAATCAATCATGCTTTCATCGACAGGGCATTGATTTATAATTAAGATGCAATGCGACAGTGTGACATGGGAAATTCACTTTCCCACCAGATGAGTCGTGAATCCGAAAAGATCAAGAGAACACACAAAACTGATTCATGACTTATCTGGTAGTGGGCGGAGTGAGAACTAAGACCACCTCTCCCCGTACCCTGACCCCATTCCTTCATCAACACTGTCATCATCGTCGTCATCATCATGAATATATTGAATCAAAAAATAATGATCATAATATCACTGCATACCAGGACGAACACTACAAAGAGTGGTGAAGGAAGGATAAACCGACCCTCCGCTCCGTCAGGGTGGAGGTGGTCAACCTGGCCCGGTGTCTCGTCACCTCCCACGGTGGAGTCATAATCACGCATGGGACTAGTCACTAACTCCTCCAGGACCCGCCAAAAACTACTTCCCTACCAATTCTATCTTTCATACACAAGGACCATAGGAGTAGTCGTACGCTCTTAACAGTTTCTATCCTATCTCTTCCTCCATTAATATACTAATATACTTAATTAATTAATTAAAACTGAGATTACTGATGATGCTGATGCTGATGACTACCATTAATACCATGCACAAAGCTAAAAATAAAACTATCAATAGAAAAACAACGGACACTATTTTTTTTCTCAATATTGTGATCAATTTAACTTGGAGTTCAGATACATCAAAATAGTAAAAATCATAGTAATAACATGTAGACAACAAAGGAAATGAAGCAGAGCATGTAAATACAAGAAAGAATCAAACTGGTTGGAGAAATCACCCAAATAAAACTTCATTTCTATAAAAATGAAAGAAAATATTTAAAATTTTACAAAAGGAAGAAACAGTTACATTCATATACCCATATAACTCTATAGATTACACACTTTTGACGATATTATCACAATTAATAAAGGAAAAGTAAGGTTAAATCCTACCTTAACCCTTGAGGCGTTCTTTGATTATTTTTTAAGCTTTGTAGTAAAAATAAATAATTGGAAAGGGGGGATGGGGAAGGAGTCAGAGATAATTTACGGGAGATAGAGAGTATGATGGTCTTCATTAGTCCACTGAGCTTGACTCCAATATGCCTTATCAAGATCGTCAGGAAGATCAAACAACCCTTGATCTCCATTCCGTTGCCAATCCAACGCTCCAACTCCATTCCCTGATCTACTAGCCATATTCGATAGCTCAACCTGCACCGTCTGATCAAGAAATCCCCCCGTGAATTCCTCCCCTCCCACGCTCATCATCTTTTGTTGCTGATGCTGTTGCTGCTGCCACTGTCCATCATTTAATAACTTGTCAAAACCAAACGACAACGTTTCATCGTTTGATGATGTAATCAAACTCGTAAAACCCCCAATTCCTGAAAATATCCCGCAGTCCGATCCTTGTTCCAGCAATTCTGGCTCGAACCCTAAATTATTAGGATTTCCATAAAACTTCGGCTCGCTTACATTTATCAAGTTAGCATGAGAAGTTATCACCGGCTCCGCCTCCGCTGTGCCACCACCATAACCGTTGTTGTTAACGTTGCTTTTGTTGTTGTTGTTAGTCACTGCAGCGTTGGAATTCGTTGCGGTGAGACTCGAACACTCGCTGCTAGAATGAGAATTCGCTTTAGCTTGCTCAAGGTGTTGTTGCTCTGGGTGCGGCAAAGACGAGGCAACAACCGTGGTGGTTTCTGATGAAGCTTTGGTTTTCGTGCGCTTGGCCTTGCGGCAACCACCGCCGACGGGGACGTTACGGAGGATGCCACCGTTCGTCCAGTAACGACGGCAGCTCTTGCAGAAATGACGTGGCTGAGAGAAGTTGTAGTTGTTGTAGTAACAGAATTTTGTGTTGAGAGAGTCGCAACGTGGACACTTGAGTGTTTGGTGGCTGTGCGGCCGTAGCCTTCTTTCTCCGCCGCCGTGGCCGCCGCTAAGTATGCAGCCACCGTCGATCGAGTGGATTTCTTGCATTACTCGCAACAATTTTCGCTCCAAAATTTAAAAAGGAAAACAAATCAAGAGCAAAGTTTCTGGTAAACTCGGCGATGAATGAAGATCGTCCCGTAAAGATCGCTTTGCATATCCTTTAGTAACGATTTCCAATTACCAAATTAACCCTTTTCGAAAAATTAAATTACGTGAACTGTACCGTACAGTTAGGAAAGTACGAAATTGGGCTTGGTAATCTCAAGTTACGTATGTACGATGAATATATGTGACCATACGTAATTTTTGAAAGAGAAAATAACTTAGTGATTAAAAATGTCTTATAATATACGATTTTAATCAAATTTTTTTGGATTTGTCAAAATGACCAACTAAATCGCAATGCGATCGATAATTCGCAACGCGATCTCCGGTATCGCAAATCAGTTTCCAGATTCGTAACGCGAACTTCGACTATCGCATTGCGATTTACATATTCGCATTGCGATAGTCGAAGTTCGCGTTGCGACAGTCGAAGTTCGCGTTGCGATTTATTACAAATTCGTTGCGATAGTCCAAGTTCGTTGCGATTTATTCCAAATTCGTAACGACTGATGGTATTGCATTTGTTTCTTAAGAATTTTCTCTAAAAAGATAGTACTCGCGTGGACGTGTCGAAGACACGTATTACCACAACCACGACCACGACCACGACCCGAGACGAGACGAGACGGACAGCGGCAGCGGCGGCGTGCGAGAGTCCCCTTGTTCTCTATCACTCAACAAGGAAGTGGGAAAGCCAAGCCTTAAATACCATTCCCAATAGTATTTCCAATAATATGTGGGATTGAGCATTACCAACACTTGTTTCCAATACTATGTGATTATTCATGAAACAATTAACAATCATGCACCTTAAAACAACTAAATCACCAACCAATTGCATTAGTATTATACGATTAAATATGTCATAATTAAAAGTCAATCTACAATCAATCGCGATTATTGTAATTTTAAGCAAAACATTCAAAAACAATTGCATCACTCGCGAGAATAAAAAAAAATTGTTATCGTACAATTACAATCAATTGAAAATAAATTAGAATTGCATGAAAACTAAACGAACCACAAATACTTTTCATACAAATACTAAAGTCATTAACTATAATTCACAAATAATATCACTATTTAAGGCTCAATCCCACATAGTATTGGGAACAAGTGTTGGTAATGCTCAATCACACATAGTATTTGAAACACTATTGGGAATGGTATTTAAGGCTTGGCTTTCCTACTTCCTTGTTGAGTGATAGAGAACAAGGGGGACTCTCGCGGGCCGCTGCCGCCGCCGTCGTCCGTCTCGTGGTCGTGGTCGTGATAATACGTGTCTTCGACACGTCCGCGCGAATACTATCTTTTTAGAGAAAATTCTTAAGAAACAAATGCAATACCACCAGTCGTTGCGATTTTGGACTATCGCAACGAACTTGGAATAAATCGAAACGCGAACTTCGACTATCGCAACGAACTTGGAATAAATCGCAACGCGAACTTGGACTATCGCAACGCGAACTTGGAATAAATCGCAACGCGAACTTCGACTATCGCAACGAACTTAGAATAAATTCGTTGCGATAGTCCAAGTTCGCGTAGCGATTGTCGATGTTCGCGTTGCGAATCTGGAAACTAATTTGTGATACCGGAGATCGCGTTAAGAATTATCGATCGCATTGCGATTTAGTTGGTCATTTTGACAAATCCAAAAAAAATAGTTAAAATCGTATATTATAAGGCATTTTTAGTCACTAAGGTTATTTTCTCTTTTTGAAATATTATGACTCAACTCAATTGATTTTGGTCAGAATGATAAGATCTACATAAATAATATTTTTTGTTTTTATTTACTTTTTACATTTTAACTTTTAATATTTTAAATTTTTAATTAAAATATTATTTTTTAAAAATTATTAGTTAATTAACGATCAATATGTTACTGGTATAATATTTTATATATGCTTAATTAATTATATGATATATGTCGATGACATAATTATTTTGGACATAATGATAAGATTTATATAAATAATTATTTTCATTTTCATTTATTTTTTACATTTTAACTTTTAATATTTTAATTTTTATCAAAATATTATTATTTTTAATTTATTATTAATTAATTAATGATCAACATATTACTGACGTAATATTATCACATGTATTTAATTAATAATATGATATATATCACGTCACTTAAAAGTAATGACATGACATATAAAAACGTGGTTGTAAATGTTTGGGATAATTTTATTATTATGTGTTCTTTTTAATAGTTTATAGTAATTACAAAATAATATATATTATCCTTTTTGGTTATTGATAATAAAAATACATCTTATAAACGAAACTGTTTAAACGTAGGATATTTAGGAAGAATAACATTTCCTTTTATCATTAAGGTCCAATTGATAATAAAAATACATCTTACAAACATAATTTCTTAAAAAGTAAAACATTTAGAAAGAACAACACTTCTTTTTATTATTATGGTTGTTTGATATGATTCGCTAATAAACCCTCTATCATGTACGTAACTTATTACGTAGAATTTATAATTAGAATTTTTATTTATGGAAAAATTTTCATTTAAATTTTATATTCCTTTTTGAAAAAAAGGCATTTTTTTATTTCTCAAAATTGATTTTTATTTATATTAGAAAGAGTGAACTTTGAGGGACTAATCCATTACCATCTTCAACTTACCTATATACACTTTAAGTCGCTACCTCGTATATAATATATAGAAAATATATGCACGAATCAAACTATTTTAGTAAATAAACAAATTATTGTTATTTTTAGAGGTTATGTATTTGAGCATCAGGGACTACAACAGAGTTATTAAACATTTATTATCAAATGATTTATAGTATTTAGAACAAATATTATTTTATAATCACATTAACTTAATCAAAATATATATACAAGAACATTATTTGATACACATATTGTGTAAACTTTAGTTTAAATTTTACAGAAATCTAACTATTTTAATATCTTGTGTACTAGTTATAATTTATTGTTTGAGTTTAGGATATTAGGATTTAGAATTTAGAGTTTATATTTAAGGTTTATAGTTTTAGATTTTAGGGCTTGAGATTAAATAAGGTTTAAGATACTTTAACACGAATTTAAGATGGTTAGATGAATGAAAATATAATATTAAGATTAAGAAAAGAAAATGAGGAGAAGTTTATAAGGGAAAAAGAAGAGTAAATTATCTTCAATTTAAAAAATTTTAATCTCACTCAATAAAATTAGTTAATTCAATATTCTTAAATTAGTAAAAATTTTAAAAATTATACACTGATTTAGGCTCATTGGATTAAACAAATTCAATGATTGAGAATAAGACATACTCTCATTAGTCACTTTTTTACTCAAAAATCTTATCATTTTTAATTATTAATCTTTATCATTAATTTTATTTAAATAACTAGTCGTAAATCACTATAAAATTTGAATTTTGCATTATATAACTAGATTTTACCTCTTTATATACATATCAAAAAACCTCACTCAAGAAGTGATGGATGTATGTTTTAAATGTCCACTCTAAAATTTAAATTTTCTTTAATTTATTATTTATTTTTTTAATTGTATTCACTTCAAAATTTTATATTTTTATGTTATTATATATATATATATATATATATATATATATATATATCCGCTCTTAAATATTTTTGGATCTGTCGGTATATTAAAAAATACGACTCACAAATCCCAACATAAAATGGCATGATCCGTTGAAATGCGGGGATGGTGTTCGGCTACGTATGTATGTTACCACGAAATATCTATACCCCAGTCACCATCTTCTTCAAACATTGCAATAATAAAAACATAATAATTGGTCTCCATCTAGCTTTTGGACAAACCCTACTTTCCCATCCATTAAACAGTTCCCACACTATGCCATTTCACTAATCTTTTATATATAATTGCTAAGAAAACGTCAATTTAACCTTTCAATATCGACCGTAGAGGCCTTTTAGAATGAATCCCACCCGAAATTAATTTTTTTATAAAACACTCATAAATGAAAAGTTTTTAATCTAATATATATAAATTTTATATTTATTATTAATAAAAAATATATTTAATAAAATTATGGGAAATATATATTATACGAATTAATTTAATTAAATTTTGTATTGAATATTGAAATATTTAGCTAAAAGTGGCTTCCATCAAACACAATATATATATATATATATCACAATGTGTAATTAGATTTACTAATTTTAAACATGGAATGATTATAATTGATATAAATATACAAATGAATGATTATTCGATACATTAATAGAAATATATTGTATATTTTAATTTTATGTGATGGATTAAGAAACAAATATGTGTCTATATATTTATTTAAATATAATTAAAGGTACATGACAATTTATTAACTTCTCATATGGAATTAAAAAAATTTATGTCGAATAATTATCCTATAAAACATATTAAATTTTACACAAAATAAAATATTAATATATCTAAATTTATATAAATATACAGTAGCAGATCTTAGCAAATGCTTTAGGATAATTGAAATTTTAAAAAATAAGATTTAATTAAAAATTTTAAAGTTTTGATAGACTTAATTAAAATTCTTTTAAAATATGATATAATTAAAATTTTCAACAAAAATGACTCATTATGATCCATCACTATTAATATGCAATATCTTTGTAATAAAATCTCGTGTTTACGTATTATAAAACTCCAAATCTTAAATACACATATAATGAGATTTAAATTAAAATTAAATTAGAATAAAAGCTCGTATTAACATATATAAAACTTGGGGATATTTATTTTATCATTGAATCAAATCCTCGTTCTAATACCTTCAATTATTTTTGGAATAAATACAAAATAAAATTAAATCAAAATCAAGATTGAAAGGACCTAATGGTTTATTGTAAGTGATCACATGCACATGGGACAGTTGTGGGGATGGTCTTCCGGTACTTGTTCACATCTACCTCTCTTTTTCTTTCAAATTTCAATTTTGAAAGCTTCCGACTAAGTTAGGGCAAATTACACCGTTTAATACTACA